AACCCAATCAGGCAAAACACTAAACAATGTAAAGAAAGCTATATATCCAGGTATTTCTGGTGTCAATGTACCAGCCCATACTGCCAGTATCCCAGTGAATCCGATCATGATCAATACTGGAAATAAGATTAGACTACCATACAAAACTGATAATTTTAATTCTTTATCATTCTTGGATGAGAAGGTCCTTTGCCAAAATCCCTATAATTAAATTGATCGATTGATTGATTAATTGGTTGCTGATAGGGTGATTATTATTTTAATGGGGTGAATCGATCAATTGATTGGGTAGATGATAGATTAAATGAAATAATATGATTCATCCAACCACCAATCCAAATCACCAAACCGACTGACTAACCAAGCCAAAATTATATATATATAAGATTTACCTGATGAAATAAATTGGCAAAAGAAACAGCAACAGGCATGATGTAAAGTAATTGCCAACCCAAAGAATTTGACTTGAGCAAATCACTACTGTCCTTCAACTCTTGATCAATTTTCACTGATGTGCCAAAACCAATTGTTGAGATTATAATCAAGATAATAATTACTGATCCTTGTATAAAATCTGTAAATATTGAAACTCGAAGTCCTCCATATGCTTTAAAATAATAAGTAAATGTGCGCAGTCAATTAAAAACAATCAATCGATGAATTCAATAGAAACAAAAAATATCATATAATTACTTGTGTAAAGGCAAGTCACAACTGCGATCGTAATAATTGAAAGTTTAGGATCAAAATTTCCCAATTCTAACAATATACTACCAACGGCTGACAACTCACTAATCATATAACACAACATGATAGCCAATGACATCAATGAAATATAAATTTGATTGACGATACTAAATCTCTTCAACACAAATTCTGTTATGGTGAATCCTTCAGGACATTTTTTACGAATGTATGGTCCAAAAAGTGTAAACACGAATAATGAAACGATAGTCCCGAATGCATACATAAATACACCTAATATTCCTGCTAATACTCCTACCTCTGGATATGCATACAATGATGATGATCCAAGACCTAAGGAAGAAACATTAACACAAAAAAATTTTTTTTATTAATTGAAAAAAAAAAATAAATATTGATATTTTTATTATTAAAGGATATTTAAATCAACAACAACAAAAAAAGATACAACGCAGTTTAATATATATATATATATATACATATATATATATTTAAAAAAGTGGCAGCTTCCCTACGCAGGCATTACCCTGATCAGGTATTGACAGTAAATTCTCAGCTCAATATTGAGCACCTGTAGTGCCATTTTTTCCCTCTTTCTTTTTTTTTTATTAAATTGATTTTTTTTTTTTTTTGCAAAAAGAAAACCAATGATGGATAATTTATTATTATTTATTATCTTTTTTTTTAAAACAAATAATGAAATATTCGCTTACCAAATAAACAAATATTGATGCTGCCACTTTTTTTATTTTCTTAAATTTTTTTTAATAACACTCACATGAAGCTATCCAGTTAAGTGCTAATGGTACAGCAGTTTGAGTTCTTAAAGAAGATAAAAAATCGGATTTATTTTTCGTATTTTTATATGCAGCATACAATCCAATAATTAAAAATGA